ATCCTAAATACAAACCACAAACAGGAACTACTATGGGGCGTCTGGGTCGTTTTGAGGGTTGAGGGTTGAGGTCATTATTCTTGCATTGCTGTGCATAGTATCACTCCTAGCATCATTAGGGGCGTTAGACATTGCAGCAGGAATTGGGGGGGGGGGGTAACTAGAAGAATAAGCACCCAGAGAACCCAATACACCTTAATTAAGGAATATAGGGGCCTTAATATTATGATGTAAGGTATATTCCTTAATTAAGGAGTATTGGGTTCTCTGGGCAATGCTATAGCAATCCTGAGAGCCGAAGATACAATAGCGGGGAACTTCCAGGCTCCTATATGGCCACGCCATAATTCCCAAAGCATTAGGGTTTAGGGTTTAGGGTTTAGGGGTTAGAGGAGCCTATGGCTGAACCCTGCACCTAAAACTATCCCTCAACTCTGGCCCTAAACCCTAAGCCCGCAACCTCCAAAACCCTCAACTCAAAACCCCAAGGGCTAAACCCAGAACCCCAAGCCCTAAACCATAAACCCTAAACCCAAAGCCCTAAACTCTAGACCAAAAGCCCTCAACCCTAAACCATAAACCCTAAATCCAAAGCCCTAAACCCCAAACCCAAAGCCTTAAACCCTAAATCCAAAGCACTAAACCCTAAACCCAAAGCCTTAAAGCCTAAACCCAAGCCTAAATCCAGAGCCCTAAACCTTAAACCCAAAGCCCTAAACCCTAACCCTAAACTCGAAGCCTGACACCCCTGAACCGTGAGCCCTTCGACTCAAAAGAGGGCTTAGGCCAGTTTAGCTTAGGGCTTCAAGAGTTAAGGGTTTAGGGTTTAGGGGTTTAGGGTTTAGGGGCTTAGGGTAGCAATTATGGACCATCAAAAATTCCCCAACCCAATTCTTAGGCGATCTACCTTGCCCATACCCTGTACCCTGAACCCCTATGCTAAGCCCTGAAGCCCTCACACTAGACCTCACGTCAGCACTCCCCAATAGGACAAGGAAGTCCAGCTTTAACTGCCAAATTTTTCGGGAAGAAGCCACAAGTGAGTTCAGCGGTTGTGTCGTTGCCGACAGGTCACCACTACAAATTCACACGAGGTAGTAGGGTCCGGTCGACGAATCAGTATTGCTGTTGCCGACAGGCCACCACTAAACCCTAAACCCCTAAACCCCTAAACCCTAAACCCTATTCACAGGAGGCTGAGCTGCTGACAACTCAATCGTCAGACCTGTCAGACCTCAGCAAAGGAATCTCGGTGTCTCTTCGCGTCTCCGGGCCGATCGGGATCTCCTGACTTGTCTGACCACCACCAGCAGATGGGGGTTTCCGAAAATAGGGGACCCTAATATAGTACGTACCCTAAATAGTAGGATACTTATTATAAGGACCCCAGAATAAGGTACCCCTAATTTTCGGAAACTCCCAGATGATGCAGCCGGACCCAACTGTCACGGTATTGGAAAACTTAGAAAGGCTGGTCTAGGGGCCTTTAAGCAGAGCAGGATTAGGGGTATCCTGTGTGAGATTATATAGTGATTGTGGTATATGATATAGTGAACTCATCGGATACCGTTTCTGCTCAGACATATATACTAATATGTGTATATATATATATATTCACTAAATAACTAATTATTTAATTAAGCCATATTAAGCCCAAGAAGCCCTGACCAACCTACAACCCTACATTGACTTACATCAAAACTTTCCAAACCGCGATAGCAGCCCTACGCCCTAAACCCTGAAAAACCCTAAACCCTAAACCGTCTCGCTTCTTTCTCAGGCCTCCAACGCAGCTGAGTCGTTGGCAGAGGCCTGGGAGGCTGCTAGTGATGCTAGTTTAAATTCGAAGGTTTAAGAATTAGACCAGGGTTTAGGGTTTGGGGTTTAGGGCAGAATTAGATTAGGGTTCTTGGGCTCTTAGGGGCTTAGGGCAGAAATAGATTAGGGTTCTTGGGCTCTTAAACTGCTGAACAGTGGCCCGAAAAGGACATACTCGCAAGCACTTTACGATATCCCCGCCTTTAAACGCTTCATTACAGGTGTGTTTGTACGGGATATACCTATCCTAGTTGTGTGCTTGCGTGCTTTTGGGAGCCCGATGTCAAAAGTTTAAAAAAAGTATACCTACACCTTTGTATTCATCAATCTAGGCGTAGGATGTGCAGGCGGCTGTAGGGTAGGGCACCCAAGCCCCAAAACCCGACACCCATTTATGGCTGCCGCCGATAAGTGTGCCAGCGCACAACGGTAAGTCCGTTCGCAGAGAAGGAAAGCAGGGTTCGAGGAAAGCAAACGACAAGCATAATTCAACTCAACCGAATTATTGTGTGCTCGAAAAAGGTTTAGGGTTTAGGTTTTAACGTAAACATCCACGATTCTGCGCGCACAAACATATTTATTTTCCGACGGTAGGATGCGAAAGGCAACCTCGTCACGTGTGTTACGCTTGATAAAACCCTAAGTTGCTTCTCACAAAGGTTTAGGCTTCAGCGGCCTAAGGTTGACACTCAAAATCCTTTTATGGTGGAGAGGCCAAGCCAAGTGGGGAGCCTGGGGTTGGCAGCCTGAGACTCGGTTTAGGGTTTAGGGTTTAGGGTTTAGGGTTTAGGGTGGGGAGAGTTTTTGGGCTTATGTGGGGAGTGTGTGTTAAAGGAACCTACAGGTGGGGAGTCTAGGGTCTATAGGGCTTCCATAACGCTTCTATAAGGTATATAGACCTTCTATAAGGCTCCTATAACGGTATCTACCCACCCGAAAAGGTCCTAGAGTGTTGGAGCTGCGGGGGAGGTTCCGGGCTTTCATGGGGATCGTGGGACGGTGTCGGGCCTTCGTGGAGAAGGTTTCGGGGCTGGAGGGCTTTGGGCTTTCGTGGGGAAGGGTAGCTGCGGGGGAGGTTTGGGATTGTCCTACACCCTAAACCTAAGACCCTAAAGCCTAAAACCCTAAACGCTAAAACCCTAAAACCCTAAACCCTAAACCCTAAAACCCTAAACCCTAAAACCCTAAACCCTAAAACCCTAAACCCTAAACCCTAGTCGTGGGTTTCTGGACCAAGGTTTCGGGCCTGGAGGTTTGCGGGGTTTCGTGGGTAGGAGGCGAGAGCAGGGTTTATGGTTGAGGGCCTAGTTTAGGGTCTTGGAAAAAAGCTCGCACCAGGAGTTGTCAGAGAGCCTCCTCCTAGCTCTTGCGGGTATATTCTACGATTCTACTGTCATAGTAGGATATACCCCATTATAAAAGCAACTGCAATCTGATTAATGGGGCTTCGGTATTATCCCAGAAGTGTCCCAAAACACACATGCGGATATGCGCACAAACCCGCTGCTTGGGGCGTAGTGCCGGGTTTGATGTATAGCGGCTGAAGAACGGTTAGGGTTTTAGGGTTTAGGGTTTAGGGTTTGAAGAGCGTATACTGGAGGCAAAACTTGCTCGTGACGAGGGTCAGACTGCTGTTGTCCCCGAGGGCTTCCACCAATGCTCCCTATGGGCAAGGCTGCGAGTGCAGAAACCGGGAGTCTAAGTGTATCATAGGATTTGGGGCTGCAGAAATACATTTGGAGGTTTCCGAAAATAGGGGACCCTAATATAGTACCCCAAATATTAGGATTCTTATTATAAGGACCCCAAAATAAGGTCCCCTTTTTTTTTTTCGGAAACTCCTATTTGGGGTAGAGCCGCATCCAGATGTAGCGGGCTTGAGGGATCGCTTGTGCCCGTGTTCAGGCGAAGGAGCGCAAGCGCCGAACTGCCAAGAGCCCTACGCCACGAACTAAACCCCAAAACCATTTCAATGCCTGAGCTCTTAAATTAGACTCTAAACCCCCAAATACCCAAAACCCCTAAACCCTAAACCCTATACTCTATAAACCCTAAACCCTAAACCCTAAAAACTCTGTTTATTCATGTCCCTATGCCAGCTGCGAGACCTGGCTCCGAGGACGGCACGTGGCCGAGAGCTCGGTGGTCGCCGGAGTGCTGTTCAGCACAAACCTGAGCTTTGCTAAACGGTCGTGGATTTTAGGCGGTTTAGGGATTATAGAGTTTAGAGTTTAGGGCCTAGGATTTTAGGCGGTTTAGGGATTCGAGTTTAGAGTTTTAGGCGGTGTAGGGATCAGGGTTTAGGGTTTAGGGCCTACGATTTTAGGCGGTTTAGGGATTAGGGTTGAGGTTCTTGGGGATTCGTGTCTAAGCTCAGGGTTGTGGACTTCCCAGTGTTGGCGCTTGGGGCTTTAGGGCTTTGGAGCACTTGGAGGTTTTAGGACATAGTTCCTGTTTGGGGGATACCTTTATACAATCCTTAATATATAATATTGGTTAAACCACAAAAAGGAACTACAATGGAGACTTGAGGTATGTTGGGAACTTTGACATGGGCTTCAGTTGCGGGGTCTACGACCTTAAACCATGCCATGGCCCTTAAACCCGAGTCCGGCAGACACTTCGTAGCACAGCTTCCGCTTCGGAGGCAGGTTGAGTTAGCATAGTTATGATATGGGTTTAGGGTTTAGGGTTTAGGGTTTAGGGTTTAGGGTTTAGGGTCGATAGTAGCCGCCAAGATTTCAAGTTACAC